GCCTTTCCCCCTCATGCTAGCCAAACTCCTTGCACCAAGTAGAGATACTACTTGTGCTTCCAAATATCCTTAAACCCAGTTTTGCCATGAGAGTCCACCATACCTACCTATGGATTTAGTAAGATCCTTCAAGTAAGTTGTCATGTTGCAGGCAATAAAAATTGCTATCTAAATATGTATGACTTATTAGTGAAGAGAAAATAAGCTTTACACAATCTTGTTATGGAAGCAATAAAAGCGACAGACTGCATAATAAAGGTCCATATACAAGTGGCAATATAAAGTGACGTTCTTTTGCATTAAGATTTTATGCATCCAACCTTAAACGCACATGACAACCTCTGCTTCCCTCTGCGAAGGGCCTATCTTTTACTTTATGTTTTTAATTTATACTTGAGTCAAGGTGATCTTCACCTTTCCCTTTTTTTCATTTTATCCTTTGGCAAGCTCCTCGTGTTCGAAAGATCATGATACATATATCCAATTGAGTGTAAGTTAGCATGGACTATTATTGTTGACATCACCTAAAGGTGAATACGTTGGGAGGCAACACAATAAGCCCCTATCTTTCTCAGTGTCAGGCTGAAACTCCATAACCACAAGTATTGCGTGAGTGTTAGCAATTACAGAAGACTACATGATAGTTGAGTATGTGGACTTGCTGAAAAGCTCTATTCTTGACTCTTTTTGATGTTACGATAAATTGCAATTGCTTCAATGACTGAGATTATAGTTTGTTAGCTTCCAATGAAGTTTCTGAACCATGCTTGACATTGTGAATTGATCGTTACTTGATCCTAAGAATTCATATGATAAAAGCTATATATATTGTTGTTATAAGAATGATCATGATGCCCTCATGTCCATATTTTATTTTTATCGACACCTCTATCTCTAAACATGTGGACATATTTTTCGATTTCGGCTTCCGCTTGAGGACAAGCGAGGCCTAAGCTTGGGGGAGTTGATACGTCCATTTTGCATCATGCTTTTATATTAATATTTATTGCATTATGGGCTGTTATTACACATTATATATCAATACTTATGGATATTCTCTCTTATTTTACAAGGTTTGCCATGAAGAGGGGGAATGCTGGCAGCTGGAATTCTGGCTGGAAAAGGAGCAAACATTCGAAACCTATTCTTCACTGCTCCAAAAATCCTGAAACTCTATGAAACTTATTTTTGTAATTAATAAGAATTATTGAGCGGAAGAAACACCTCAGGGGGCCCACACCCTGGCCAGGAGGGTGGGGGACGCGCCCACCCCTACTGGGCGCGCCCCCTGTCTCCTGGGCTCCCCGGTGGCCCTCCGGTGTCCATCTTCTGCTATATGAAGGCTTTTACCCTGGAAAAAATCGTGGGCAAACTTACGGGACGAAACTCCGCCGCCACGAGGTGGAACCTTGGCGGAACCAATTTAGAGCTCCGAGAGAGCTGTTCTGCCGGGGAAACTTCCCTCCGGGAGGGGGAAATCATTACCATCATCATCACCAACGATCCTCTCATCAGGAAGGGGTCAATCTCCATCAACATCTTCACCAGCACCATCTCCTCTCAAAACCCTAGTTCATCTCTTGTATCCAATCTTGTATCCAAACCACTAATTGGTACCTGTGGGTTGCTAGTAGTGTTGATTACTCCTTGTAGTTGATGCTAATTGGTTTACTTGGTGGAAGATCATATGTTCAGATCCTTAATGCATATTATTACTCCTCTTATTAGGAACATGAATATGCTTTGTGAGTAGTTACGTTTGTTCCTGAGGACATGGGTGAAGTCTTGCTATTAGTAGTCATGTGAATTTGGTATTTGTTCGATATTTTGATGAGATGTATGTTGTCTTTCCTCTAGTGGTGTTATGTGAATGTCGACTATATGACACTTCACCATTATTTGGGCCTAGAGGAAGGCATTGGGAAGTAATAAGTAGATGATGGGTTGCTAGAGTGACAGAAGCTTAAACCCTAGTTTATGCGTTGATTCGTTAAGGGCTAATTTGGATCAATATGTTTAATGTTGTGGTTAGGTTTACCTTAATACTTCTTTTGTAGTTGCGGATACTTGCAATAAGGGTTAATCATAAGTGGGATGCTTTTCCAAGTAAGGGCAGTACCCAAGCACCGGTCCACCCACGTATCAAATTATCAAAGTACCGAACGCGAATCATATGAGCGTGATGAAAACTAGCTTGACGATAATTCCCATGTGTCCTCGGGAGCTCTTTTCTCATTATAAGAAATTGTCCAGGCTTATCCTTTTCTACAAAAAGGATTGGGCCACCTTGCTGCACTTTATTTACTTTCATTGCTTGTTACTCGTTACAATTTATCTTATCACAAAACTATCCGTTACCTACTATTTCAGTGCTTGCAGAGAAAACCTTACTGAAAACCGCTTATCATTTCCTTCTGCTCCTCGTTGGGTTCGACACTCTTACTTATCGAAAGGACTATGATAGATCATCTACACTTGTGGGTCATCAGTCATGCACCGTCGTGAGCAGTGCAGCTCTCATAGGGAAATATTCTTTCTCTGCGACATCCCACGTATCGGCTGGCGTTTTCCACATCGTGTCTAGCTCCTCTTTCAGCAGCCCCAGATACAGATTGATGTCGTTTCCTGGTTATTTCGGCCCTTCAATTAGCATACTCATGTGAATGTACTTCCTCTTCATGCACAACCAGGGGGGAAGGTTGTACATCCATACAAACAAAGGCCAGGTGCTATGTGTGCTTCTCTGGCTGCCAAACGGATTGACTCTATCGGTGCTCGCGCCCAGCACGATGTTTCTTGGATCGTCCCCATATTCTGGGTGTTCGAAGTTCAATGCTTGCCACTGGCTCGCATCCTTAGGGTGACTCAGCATCTTGTCTTTTTTATTTATCTCCGGATCATTTCCGTCATCTTCTCGCTTCTTCTCCTCCATATCCACGTGCCAACGCAGGAGCTTTGCTACCTTAGGGTCCACGAAATACCGCTGCAGACAAGGAGTGATCGGAAAGTACCACACCACTTTTTGAGGAGCTTTCTTCCTCTTCTTGTATCGAGTGATGCCGCACACCGGACATATGGTAAACTCCGCATGCTCGTCCCGATAAATGATGCAATTGTTCATGCACACATGGTATTTCACGTGCGGTAAATCCAGAAGACACACGATTTTCTTCGCCTCCTCGAAACTGGTCGGGCACTTGTTCCCCTTGGGAAGACGTTCGTGCCAGAATGACATGTTCTCGTAGAAGCATGCGTCGGTTATTTTGTGTTTTACCTTCATCTCCAGAGCCATGAGAATTTATTTCAGGCGGGTATCCTCAGGCCTGCATCCTTCATACAATGGAGTAACCGTGTCTATCTCCAGTTGACCAGCTTGGCTTTCTCTCGGGCGGCAGCTCTTGCGTTATCCGTCTGCTTGAGAAGCAGCTCTTGAATATGAGGGTCCTGCACCCAGCCCATCGATGGTCCATCGTCGTCTGCTCCGGTATCTTCATCTTCATGATCATGCCCTTCGTCTGCTCTGGCATCTTCCTCATCATCATGTCCGGCATCTTCTACATGATGACTGTGTACTGCATCTACTTCGTGATCATGCCCTGGAGATTCTTCGTCTTCTCGCCCGCCCTCGCCGCGGTTGTCTTGCTGCCCTTCCTCATTTCTTGCCCGACCCCCGTGGACGACTTCATAATCATCTTCATCACCTTGCCACCGATAGCCATCCATGAAACCACGCAAGAGCAGGTGGTCCCGCACCTGTACGGAATCCGGGTCCATAAGGCTCTTCAGTTTGCATCTTCGACACGGACATCTTATCTCCATCTCGTTCTTTTGAAGCATCTCGGCCTTCGCAGAGCTCAAAAACCTATTCACGATGCCTTCGGTCATCGTGCGAACCATGGTCGCCTACGGGGTAGAGCAAAACGATATTTTAAAACCCAAATTTTTTTGGCATGACTTTGACTAAAAGTAGGGCCAAAAAGAATGTATAGTGCCAAATTCTCGCCGAAACGGAAATGAATCAATATTTCCAGCAAAATATTGGCAACTATCGCATTTCAAATACCGGTACCTGGAAACACAAACATATGCAACACCACAAACATACGTAGATCTAGGCCATAAAAAGTGCATGTGCACGTTGTTGGAGGGAGAAAAAAGTAGATCTACAACATAAAGAAAGCTTTCCCCTTACTTACCTATCAAAAAAAAGGAAATTTAACCATTTAATTTGGGTGAATCTATGGTGCAAATGAGGTGAGGAGGAGGAGACACCCGAGACAAGCTTGAAGGAGGAGGTGGAGAGAATAAAGTGGGGAAAGTGAGTGTGGTAGGTGGCTGTCCAAAATATCTAGCTGCTCCTAGGTTACTAACGGCGCACCACCTAACAATGCGCCATTAGTAACCCTTATGGCGCACCTGTTATGTGGTGCGTCATTACTAGTTTTGCAAAAAAAAAATTGTTATTAGTGGCGCACCGTGTTTGTGGTGCGCCATTAATAGTTTGAACTAGTAACGCACGGTTGTCTGGTGCATCATTACTAGTTTTGAAAAAAAGTAAAAAAAATTGTTAGTAGTGACGCACAGAGTGTGTGCGCCATTATTAGTTAAAACTAGTAATGGCGCACTATACCCTGATGCGCCATTACTAGTTTTGAAAAAATAATTTGTTAGTAATGGCGTACCGTGGTTGTGGTGCGCCCCATTAGTGATATGGACACAAATGACGTACCTACACATGGTGCGCCACTGCTATATAGCAGTGGCGCACCACATTTGTGATGCGTCATTAATGTCCATATTAGTTATAACATTTTCCTCGTAGTGCATATGTCACAACAGTATTTTTATGAAATATTGTCATGCTTATAGCGTTTTTTTGTTCGCCACCTTTTTTATTTTTTTTATGGCAGCCACGATTTGCCTAAGATTAAGGTTAGGCACTGCAAATCTAGTCATGGACCAAACAAGAATCGTCAAGAAATTTAGGGGACGGAGATCAGCTACTCACGGATCTGCTCTGCTACGGGCGGCGGCAGTGCCGATATCTCGAAGCAGAGGTAGCAGTCGGGGCCGAGGACCGCGGCCACGCTTCCTTGCACGGCGCCGGTGGTGGCCCCCCAGCTCCTGGCCATCTGCAGCGTCGAATCCCGCAGGCACCGGGCGCACTCCGGCGCGTCGCGGTCCGGCATGCACTGTGCCAGCACGCGCACCGTGTCGCCGTTGCTCGCCGTGGTGGTCGCGCTGGCGGAGGCCACCTAGCAGTTTGCGGGCCGTGGGACCAGGGACTGCGCCACGGCCACGAGGTTCTGCACGTCGGCGGCGTCAAGGCGCGGGACGGCGTCCCCGGAGAAGTTCCCCGCGCTAATGTCGTCGTCCGTGCCGGCGGAGGACGCGCTGGTGTCAGCGTAGCCCAGGAAGCAGCCGTCGTTCAGGAAGTCCGCGCGCCGGCTGGCGTCGCCGCACTGGTCGGTGATCTTTCTGCTGGCGTCGGACAGGCAGCGGAGGCACGGGTCGGGCGCGGTGTCACCGAAGCAGAAGCCGCGCACGATCGCGCCGCCGGTCCACAGAGAGGCGAAGCCCGTCCGCGCGGCGGCCGAGGGGAGGGCGTCGACGAGCGAGAGGAGGCTGCAGCTGCCGTTGACGGTGGGCGTCGGCGGCGGGCAACACATGGTCACTATGACCTCGGAGGTGGAGCAGCACCTGGTCACGATGACCTCGGAGGTGGCGCAGGTGAGCGCCATCATGGCGGCGACAAGGGAGAGGAGGAGGACGAGGGGGAGGAGGAGGAGAGGGCGGCGGGAGCTAGAGAGCGCCATGTGAGTGGCCGATCCGTGGAACGAGAAAGTGTGGTCGCTTTCGGGCCTGCCCACAGACGATCGAGAGACGAGGAGGAGTATAGAATGCGGCGACGCCGGCCCTTAGCTAAGATCGGCTCTGTCAAAGCCTCAAAGTCATGCCGAGCGTCGCATGGGTTTTGTTGCCTCATCCGTCCTTCGGAAGCTTTCCGCGCAATTTCCTAAGGGAAACGTTTCACGACGGGGCACCGGCCGAAGCTTCGGCCGGTCGCGTCCACGCGTGAACGTACCGAGTGACTCACCTAGCGACACGTAGGATGGAGGGCCCGCCCACGTGCGTCTTCTCCCTCCTGTTTCTCTTCTTCCCGTCGCTTGTCTCTCTCTCTCTCCGCTGCCATGGCCAAGCTTCGCCAGCCGGAGACCTCCCAGGGCGCTGCCGCCATGGGAATCAGCGGATCCGGCTGCCCTCGGCCAGATCTGCTTGGATCCGCGCCACCAGATCTGCTCCCGATCCCCTCTTTTCTCTCTCAGCCTAGCGCGCTGCTGGCCCTCTTCTTCCTTCCTCGGATCCCGCCGCCGGCCAGCCCAATCCCGTGCAGGTCCCCTCGCCCCCCTCCCCCCCTATACAAGTTCCCCCCGCACCGGCGAGCCTGAGCTAGAAGCCGCCATGCAACTGAAAAATCTACAACCGTTCATGCGAAAGCTTCAAACTGTATTTGAAAAAGCTTCAACCGACGAAATAGATAAGTTTCATGCGAACACTAGAAAGAAAAAAAGCTACAACCATCGGCTTGGAAAGCTTCAACTGTGAATTGAAAAGCTTCAACCCGCTTTATACAAGGCTTCAACCAACTGTATAGAAAGCTTCACCCCCAGGAGTACACAACGAAAAAAGATGCAATTGTCGACATGAAAACCTTCAACCGCATTTCTGAAAAGCTTCAACCGTAATTCTGAAAAGCTTCAACCGTATTTCTGAAAAGCTTCTACCAGAGACCGCGACAAAAAGCTTCAACCGTATTTCTGAAAAGCTTCAACCGTAATTCTGAAAAGCTTCAACCGTATTTCTGAAAAGCTTCAACCAGAGACCGCGACAAAAAGATTCAACCGTATTTCTGAAAAGCTTCAACCATAATTCTGAAAAGCTTCAACCGTATTTCTGAAAAGCTTCAACCAGAGACCGTGACAAAAAGCTTGAATCAGCAACTCACTATTGATGCAACTGACTACTACGGTGGCTTCCCGGCGGAGCTGCAACGGCGACGAACTCCAGGCACCGGCAGGGGTCGATTTTTGTTTGCTAAGGTCCATTTTTTTGCTGCATCAGAGGGGTGGGGGCCATGGGGCACCTGTGCTCCAACTGGCGAGCGGCGACGGCGAGCGGCAACGGCGAGCGGCGACAGCGAGCGGTGACGGCGACGGCGAGGGCGAGCGGCGAACGGCAATGGGGATGACGACGAGGTAGATGCCCATGGCTGGGTGTGGGGTGGCCCGTGGCGCTTGCCGTTGCTCGATCCGAACGCGGAAGGTAGACGATGCGGGGGAAGGGGCTCGATCTGACGGTTGGTAGTCAGTGCATCGGACGGCCTGGGCTCGACCGGCCCAACTGTTGGGCCGGCGCACCGGCGCAGATCACTGCCCATTTCCTAACCCCCGTACGTCTGTGATTCAAGTGTTTTAGCACCACGCAGTGCAGTGGCATCCATGTGCCAACAAGAAACATTTGTTCAAGTGCAAGTGCAACACCAGCGCTTATTACAGTTCCCGTCTACCTCGGACGTCGTCACGCCATTGTCATTGTGTGGAGCTAGGGTCCTCAACAGGTCACTTATAATACCAAAAATGCTAGACATACGGGGCTTTACAGGCAATTACAGGCTCCTTCTAAACTAACTAAATATGCCCCCCCCCCCGATTTTTAGGTGGGTGGGCCCGCGTCCCCCCTAACCTCCAATTAAAAACTACCCAATCACCCTGTGACACTTCCGAGCCCGTAATTGTTTGTTGATGTAGCAAAGCTCCTCATAATACTGTCGATCTCACACGAGCAACCAACAAGGCTCTACATGAACTTCTCCAATCAGAAATGTCACTACATCGATCGTCTATAGGTCGCGCCCGCTGGTCTCCCTTGTCCCTCCCTTGTCGCACCCGTAGGCGACAAGGAGGGCTCCTCTGTCGCACCCGCCGGTCTCGTTCTCCCCCGCACTCCTCCCTCGCCGCGGCCAGAAGGCGCAGCTGGGCAACGGCTGGCTCGTGTCGGTGACGACGGGGCCCTTTTTGTCCTCGCTTGGGGGTGCTGTGACGGAGCGGCATCCTTGCGCCAAGGCGGCGTGCCGGTGTGAGCCACGTCAAGGAAGATGACGCTAAGTGCACCTGCGGCAGTGGACTGCGGGTGGAGGCGGCCTGGAGTACCTCGCGGTGGAGGGGCGTGCCAGCACCGCTGCCGATCTGGATCACGATATGGCTTGATCTGGATCCAGGAGGTTGGAGACGACGCGGGCGGCATTCAGGACGGCACCCCTGCCGCACGGCGGCAATTGGAGCCTCCATGGGCGGCAGTGTGGCGACTGCGTGCAGATGGATGGCTTCGATGGCTGCAGATTTGGCGTCCTATTTAGACCCGTCTTGGTTTGGCCTTGGGCGGCCGGTGGCTTGAGGAGGACCAGTGAGGGGCGGCTGGAGGCTCCCCGCGGGCATGCCGACGGTGGCCCTTGTCTCCGCGGCGACGCTCCGTTCGGTTCCACCCAACTGTGAGTTCGGGGAGGCGCGACTTCCGGTGAAAATTGCGCCAACTTTGGTCATGGCGGACGATGGCAGCGTCTATGACACTGTTCCCTTCTCCAAGCATCGTTGTTGCAGGTCATGGCACCCCACTCGTGATCTGGTGGAAACCCTAGATCTGGATCTACCGGATAGAATGTTGATGGCACCTTTGATGTCGTTGTCCCTCCTGGGGGTATCGTTTTGGAGCAAATGCTGGTTGGACGGGACAAGCGGAGGAGCGGTGTCGCACTCACTGCAAGGTCGACGGCGAATCCCGGTGGCATGGTGATGTCTACTACACAACCTTCTTCTTGTAGACGTTGTTGGGCCTGCAACTGCACAGGTTTGTAGGACAGTAGCAAATTTCCCTCAAGTGGATGACCTAAGATTTATCAATCCGTAGGAGGCGTAGGATGAAGATGGTCTCTCTCAAACAACCCTGCAACCAAATAACAAAGAGTCTCTTGTGTCCCCAACACACCCAATACAATGGTAAATTGTATAGGTGCACTAGTTCGGCAAAGAGATGGTGATACAAGTGCAATATGGATGGTAGATAAAGGTTTTTGTAATCTGAAATTATAAAAACAGCAAGGTAGCGAGCGATAAAAGTGAGCGCAAACGGTATTGCAACGATAGGAAACAAGGCCTAGGGTTCATACTTTCACTAGTGAAAGTTCTCACAACAATAATAACATAGATAGATCATATAACAATCCCTCAACATGCAACAAAGAGTCACTCCAAAGCCACTAATAGTGGAGAACAAACGAAGAGATTATGGTAGGGTACGAAACCACCTCAAAGTTATTCTTTTGGATCAATCTATTCAAGAGTTCGTACTAGAATAACACCTTAAGACACAAATCAACCAAAATCCTAATGTCACCTAGATACTCCATTGTCACCTCAAGTATCCGTGGGCATGATTATACGATATGCATCACACAATCTCAGATTCATCCAACCAACACAAAGTACTTCAAAGAGTGCCTCAAAGTTTCTACCGGAGAGTCAAGAACGTGTGCCAACCCCTATGCATAGGTTCATGGGCGGAACCCGTAAGTTGGTCACCAAAACATACATCAAGAGGCACATGATATCCCATTGTCACCACAGATAAGCACGGCAAGACATACATCAAGTGTTCTCATAAAAGACTCAATCCGATAAGATAACTTCAAAGGTGAAACTCAATTCATCACAAGAGAGTAGAGGGGGAGAAACATCATAAGATCCAACTATAATAGCAAAGCTCGGGATACATCAAGATCGTGCCATAGAGGAAACACGAGAGAGAACACGAGAGAGAGAGAGAGATCAAACACATAACTACTGGTACATACCCTCAGCCCCGAGGGTGAACTACTCCCTCCTCGTCATGGAGAGCGCCAGGATGATGAAGATGGCCACCGGTGATGGATTTCCCCTCCGGCAGGGTGCCGGAACGGGCTCCCGAGAGGTTTTTGGTGGCTACAGAGGCTTGCGGCGGCGGAACTCCCGATCTATCTTGATATTCGATGTTTTTAGGGTACGAGGGAATATATAGGCGAAAGAAGTCGGCCGGGGGGTGCTCGAGGGGTCCACGAGATAGGGGGCCGCGCCCTGTAGGGGGGTGCCTATCTCCTGGGCTCCTCGAGGATCTTCTGACTTGATCTCCAAGCCTCTAGGATGATCCTCTTCGAAAAAATCATGATGCCGAAGGTTTCATTCTGTTTGGACTCCGTTTGATATTCCTTTTCTTCGAAATACTGAAACAGGCAATAAGACAACAATATGGGCTGGGCCTCCGGTTAATAGGTTAGTCCCAAAAGTAATATAAAAGTGTCTAATAAAGCCCATAATCATTCAAAACAGATAGTAATATAACATGAATGCTTCATAAATTATAGATACGTTGAAGACGTATTAGCATCCCCAAGCTTAATTCCTACTCGTCCTCGAGTAGGTAAATGATAAAGAGAGAATTTATGAAGTGTGAATGCTAGAGGTGCACAAGTTTGATCAATGATAATTTCAATCACCTTTACTAGCATCATTATATGTCATAACAGTAGTTCATCTCATGAAACTTTTCACGAACTAGTAACAATCAATTCACATGTTAAAGCATAGACCATAAACTTTCTTAAAAACTAGCAAACTTCATTCTTAGTCATCAAACAATTGCAATTCATCTTACTTTCAGGAAGAGTCTATGTCAGAGCTTTGATTTAGCAAACTTCACATACTCAACTATCATATAGTCTTCTACA